ATTTAAAGGAGCCCTGAACCGTAAATCAGAAAACCTAGTTTTGCCTTAATTAGGCTTAAAACACTCCAATTTACCTTTAAAATGTCAGTTGTAGTCACCATAAATGGAGAGACTTGGCCGAAATTATGCGGAAGTTAAATTTAGAGGTCGACCCACATAAAATGACATAGAAAATGAATTCATTTGAGAACATTTTATCGTCCAGAAACGATTAAAACTGCCCTTCACGGAGAGTCGGGGGAGGGGGGCAAAGGGGGAGGGGGGCGCCTAGGACCCCACATGTATATCCGGACTATTTGACCCCAAAACAATAGAATTATGCGGTTTTTTTGCAGAACCAAACAGCTTCGGCCAGAAAAATTCAAATCAATCGAAATTACGTCATCGATGACGTCATTTTCTGCGCACGCGCCGTCTTATTAAGGTCTCGGACCGGAGTTTCCTTCCGTGTTCGGAGCAATTTGACACCCTCAGCCCGACGGGCTGTCATTACTGTACGCGGGTCGGAATTTTTCACTCTTTTGGTGGAAAGGTGTGCCGTGCCGCTTATAAATACACTTGATTTATATTTTGTGCGCCCAACTTATTTAGGGGTAAATAAGGCACATCAAAGTACATTTTTAAATAAGGGGTCATTTTTTCGTCATTTTTAACCATGGCTGCATGGAAAAAAACAATTTTCCCAGGGTAACGGCATAGTACTCGAAGAAGCTTAGAACCTAATGTTTCCAAAATTTAAATGTAATCAAAATCGATGCGATACGTTTACCGCTATCTTCGATGGCCCGAACACACCCACAACTCATATAGAACGTACCATCCCGGCGGTCAGGCGAAAAGTCCACATAACCATCCGCGCGGACTAATACCATAAACATTACTCCACCTATAAAGGCTACAACTAACAGGGTTTTCAGAAAATACAAATATATGTACACAGATATTACGATTTCAGGGATATCGCGGCCAAAACATACCATACAAAGTCACGTTTCCGGCGATTTACTGCGCACTTACTTAGACTCTGGTCAGATTTAAACTCCGACCCGGAACAAAAAGTGTTCATGACAGAATATTAAGGTGTACTAAGTCTTATATTGCCCATAGCAACACCGGTGACGTCATAAAATGACGTCATGCATATTTAAGCTATCCACCATCTTGGATCATCAATCTTGGATCTTCAAAAATATTTTTTCAGGATGAAGTCTAAAATACATTGTAAACAGACTAAAGAAGTTCATATCAATCTTTTTAAAATTTTATAAAAGAAATTGAAATATTGATGAAATTTTAAGGAAAAAACTGTATATACCTTGTTGTAATGATATGGTCTTGGATTTTGACCAATGACGTCATCGAATTAGCATAAATTATGCATTTTTAATAATATATTTTTATAAAATTGTATGGGATGTTATTAATATTAGAAACTATGTGTAACTAGACATACATGTAAAACCCGTAAAATTCTATTGTTGAAAGGAAAATTACTAAATTTAGCAAATATGCCTGTCAGAAACCCGTTGTCATGGCAACACCAAAAATTGTTATCTTATTCCAATGATATACAATTGTTGCCAACAATATTCTAGGAAAAGTTATCAAGTTTGGCCGTTCTAGCACTAGCCATTCAGACGCTATGTGATTTGAAAGTTGGCGCGGGCACTTTTAGCCACACCCCCCGTCTAGATAGGGTTAAAGTGGTGCAATAAGACCTGGTAAAAAAAGGGGAAATGCTTGATAAATTATTTTCAGACGTGGGAAAATCGAATCGGTATGTTTTATGCATTTCTACAGCAGGCCAATAACTTGGCACCGACACAAAATACCTGTTATTTGTTCGCATGGCGAAGTTAAATGTATTTAATTATTTTGTACAAATAACCTATTTTTTGAGGGTAAATAGACCTTATAAAAATCTTAAAACATTTTTTTCCGAAGAATTCTGCATATATTACATAATAGGTCCATACTAATATTTCTAATATGCCCTAATGCTGTATGCTGTAAACAGGAACCCTACGCGGGCGCGGTTGAACTTAAAGCAGAGAAAACAAATAAGACACGACTATTACCCGGATCCACTGATAACCTGATAACCTGAGACATGTGTGGTCTGTGGTAGAAAATTCTCAGAGAGTGTCACTCGGGAACCAGATTTAAATGTGAGGAACTGTATCAATTTGTTGAGTTATTTACATTTGTACATTACATAAATGGACTTGCAAATGTTTGTAAGTGTAAAGTTGAAACATTGTTACGACATTTACGACAGTTACAACAGGAAACAAAATTGACCCTATATAGGTGACTTTGTGTACATATGTGGGTCTTAAGTATAAACGCGTAACTCCAAAGGCCTTACAATTCAGTTTCCCAGGAAGTGTTCAAAGAAATCGTGGTATACACACACGAAACGCAACTTAATTCGAGGTGTAAAACCGTTTCCAGCGTAGGTGCAAGTTTTGAATCACAGACGCAAAATCATAAACATCATAAAGAGGGCCTCAATAATAAAAAGCGAATAAAAGTATTGAAATAAAAAATAAGGGGATACCTAACGACATATCGTTGAACTTTGAGCATGAAAATTTAAAAATGCTATCTGTGATCGCTACATTTTAACCAATAATCAATTTGAAAATTAGCTTACAAACTGCAAACTTGCAATTTAACCGCACTAAATTTGAATTAAATGCTGGTATTGGTTCGTACATGATCGTCGTGTATGTAACTCTGTCATTCTGTCCTTGCTTCAAAATTAATAAAAATACAGCAATGCCCGTCTGACACTAGGTAGTATGCCTTTGTTGTTACATAACGTTATACAAAGACACGGGCGACATTAATACCTACTATGCCACAGCAAATAAAATACTGGACTTACAAGAGGTATCAGCCTTGATGAAACCTTGAAGAAAATCGTGTGGCCGAATCTTGGTTGATTTTGTGCAGAGTTTAACTTTCCAGCCGCTCCTTTATGAGTGGCCTCTGAGAAATGCCGACGTGTAACTGCGGCTGATTCAAATCAAAGCTTTGTTTGTTACTACTGCCGTGGTATATTTAAGTCTCAAATTTTCGTGATCAAACTTAACGGGCTTTCTGGTGTGTCTTATTGATGTGTCTTATCAAAGTGGTGCAATAACATCTGGTAAAAAACGGATAAGACTATCTTGATACCTAATTTTAATATGTGGGAAAATCGAACCGGTATGTTTTATACTTTACTTCTGCAGGCCTTTAAAGCCTCTATGTAACAAGGGATGTGCATTTTGGGGAATAAACAGCTTTCCACACATGTAATTGTAGAAATTGCCTCATTTTTATCCGAGCGCCCATGAATTTGCGAAAACTGAGTGTTAAGTCCACCAGCTCTACTCTAGTGTAAACTCGGCAGTGAGACCGGAAGTGACGTCATAGTAGGAACGCGAGCGTCATAGTTTAGCAGACGACAGGAACTGTCATGTAGTTTTTTTGTCAGCCCAAGTTTTTTCGTCAGTATCTTTGTTTATCTTTGTTATTATATGGTGCGTAGATGTGTAGCTTATGGCTGTTCTGGGACTACGAAATTAGGACTTAGTTTGCATAGTTTTCCAAGCAGCCCGCGGAGAAGGCGATTGTGGATCCAGTACGTACAGCGCCGTAGAAACAACTGGACGGGAGGGGCAAAGGCGGAACTGTGTAGCCGGCACTTTTCCAGCGACCAGTTTGTCGGCGGACTCGAGCGGGAATTCGGAATACGTAAACGCGTTCAGTTGAAGCCCACAGCCGTGCCGGATGTATATGCGTTTGACGAAAGACCGGCTAAGAGTGGGGCGTCGTCTGCTGTAAGCGGCCCACGTACGGCGTTCGAAAAACGCAGACGACAACAGGTAACGTTCTGTGAATACTCTTGTGACACAACATAAACTCTTAGCAGATCAGGAGTGTCGATATAGATGTAGATATCTTCAGAATTAGGAGCCGCCTCGTTTACTTTCCGCTTTAGCTAACACGTATTATTATGGGTGTACATAGCTTGTACGCGGCTCTTCCACAAGTCACGCAGGCCCCTTTTGCAGTGAGTTTTTTAAATATATAGTGTTGGACTTCGATATTTATGTACCGTACATATCTGTAGCGTCAGTCTTTATATCTCTTGCTGGACTCTTACATTGTTTGACATGTATCATATAAATTGCCGTACAATGCAAATACATGTAGTACATTTACTTTTCACACAGATCATTGCAGACCTGTTGGAACCCAGTGCACAGGTATGTTGTATTGGTTTTGTTTAGATACTTTAAATTGAATTTTTAATTGTTACAAAGTGAAAGAAAAACTGTCATGAACAATGGACAAGTAAGCAAGAAATAATTTTATTTATTTTTGTAACAATATAAGCTTAAACTGGATGCACTGGATAATGGATATGAAGTGTGTCTCATAGCCCTGGACATCAAGGGGGCTTTTGACAAAGTATGGCACAACGGACTTTGTTCAAAACTCAGAAGCAAGGGAGTCTGCGGCAAGCTGCTGATGTGGATTGAGAGTTATCTCTCTGACCGTTCAATAAAAGTGGTCCTTTCCGGCCAGTCCTCAACCACGACATCCATCAATGCATCTGTCCCTCAGGGTTCAATTCTGGGACCCCTGCTGTTCTCAGTCTTTATAGATGATGTGGGAGACGGGTGTGAGAGCCCTCCATATCTATATGCAGATGACTCCACTCTCTACTATGTAGTCAGAACAAACGACGACAGAGCCTCAGCAGTGATGAGCCTAAACAGGGACTTGGAAAGAATGAGGATCTGGGCTGAGAAATGGAAAGTTACAATTGAACCAACCAAGTGCAAAACAATGACAATCTCTAGAAAAAGATCTCGAGCAAGGTCAGATCTTTTCTTTGGAAACACCAAACTGGCTGAGAAAGACGAACTGGAAATCTTGGGAGTCACTATTGACAACAAGCTCAGCTGGACAAAACACACCTTAAACACTGCAGCTAGAGCTGGTCAGAAACTTGGAGCTATGAGGCGAGTTGCCCACAAGCTCACTCCCAGTGGAAGAGCTGCAGTGTACAAGGCACAGGTACGCAGTGTTATGGAGTATGCCTCACTGTGCTGGATGAGTGCACCTGCCACCTCGTTGGGACTCCTGAATTCTGTTCAAAGGAGGGCACTTAAAATCATAGGAACAAACGAACAAGAAGCTAGGTTGACACTGAACATCCCATCTCTTCAGCACCGTCGCCAAGTGGCCGCTGCGGCACTCTTGTACAAAATGCACACCGACACATGCCCAGCAGGCCTGAAGACAATGCTCCCCAAGCCGTACACCTTCAGACGCACAACCAGAACTAGTCTTGCTATGCCAACCCACGCACTTGCACAACCAGTATCTAGAACCAGCTCCACGGGCCGGACCTTCATCCACACTGGTGTTCAGATCTGGAACCAACTCCCAGACACCATTGTGGGTAACATCTACAACAACGGACTGCAGTCCTTTAAAGTCAGAGTACATCGACACCTCCTTCATTGCAATTGAGAACTTGGCAGCTGTGAGCCACTGATTGCCCACTGATTGAGCCATTGTACAATCAGTGGGTATTGCTCACTACAGCACATTATATATAAAAAAAAGAAAAAAGAACAAG